CAGTGCCAGGGTTTTCATAGGAGGCGGGCAATACCCCCACTTTGTGGGGGGGCCGGTTCAAGCTATACCAAATTTCCAAACGACTCTTCGCCACCACCCACACCCAGCTTCCCGCCCTATGACGTTCGGACACTTCACTTCGTGGCCTGCGGACGACCTTGGCTACTACACTGGCGCATGGGTACAGTGACTTGTTGTGGTAACATTTTGTGGAAGCTAGCTTAGTATACGACTTTTCCCCCTGTTCCAACACTGGACACCTGTACCGTTTTCCGACGTTTTTCCGTTAATGTACCACACAAGCGAAGACACTTATTTTGAGTGGTACCACGTGCGTGGCGCCAGCATACCACAGGACTTGTTTCCGTTGTTGTGAGAACGGTGGAACCACGGACTGTCCCCTGGTGGAATAAAACGGGCTGCCGCAGTCGGCCAAGGGAGGCCGCGACAGCTCTGGGCCATACTGCTCGTCAAGGGCTTTCGCCGACAAAGCCATGACCCATCCAAGAACACAGGCGATACCTTGATCCGAGATGGCTACGGATGTGACAGTGATCTGTGATTTTGTTCGATGACGTGGTGACACACTGACTTGTTGTGGTACCATGCCGACAACGACGACGCGACGACGCGCGCATGTGTCCCGCATGATATTTGTTGCAAGGGATTGTGGCCCCTGGCAGGCGCGCGAACGCCGTTGAAAGAGCTTGCGAAAACAGCTCGCGCGAGCTCTATAACATAAATGTTGAAAAACCATTGGTTTTTAAGGATTCGGACAGCGCGCGCGGGTAGAAATTTTGAAAATTCGTACAGATGTTTTTCGAGAACCTACGGTGCGATTCGTATGATTTTATGTTGCGCGGTGCTAAAAGTCCTAAGAAACCCAATGATTTTTGAAGATTTCGGCGTGCGCGCGCGAAGAAAAAACGAATGTGTCCCACATGGTATTATTTGACAGGGATGATGGCCCTGGCAGGCGCGCAACCTTTGTTGCAGAAGTTCGAAGCACGTGAAACAGTTGCTCGCAAGAGCCCGTTTGACAGAAATGTTGAAAAAGTACTGGGTTTCCTAAGAAATCCGCAAGAGCGCGCGGGGTGAATTTTTGAAACCCTTTTTTTGAAAAACCATTGGGTTTTTCATGTTTTTATGTTAAAATCGCTACGAAGACTAAGGTTTTGGAAGGATTTCGTCTTGCGCGCGCGAATGTGCACTTCGTGTCATTTTTTGCAAGGGATTCTTGAAGTTTGGTCATGTTAGAACAAGAAATGTCCACTTTGCCTTATTTTTTGCAAGGGAAAACCGATCGTAACAACACAACCGGATCTGGTATACCCCGTTTTGCCTGAGACTTCCTCACGAAAACGATGAAAATGTGGCTGCGGCCTAGGCGCGGCGGGGGGGGCGCGCACCAGGGGTCCCAACAATAATTATTCTTTAGAATTAATAATGTTCAACAACAACAACAACAACAACCACGATCACCCACCATTACCGCCGTCGTCGCAACCCGAGCCATCAACCTAATCACCAACCACACCGTTGTCATCATCACCATAACCTTCATCAGCGGCAGCATGATCGCCACCGCTATCGTCATAAACCTCATCACCATCGCCATCCTCCTCCTCACAGTCATCGTTCTCATTTGTATCCGCATCCTTCAGCGGCCTACCTTAGGAGAGCGAGGATGAAGAGGACCAGGAGAAGGATAAAGACTGGCGGAACAGGAGGAGGAAAAGAACAAGGGAGGAGGGAGGATGGAGGATGGAGGAGGAAAGAGCAGGAGGAATGATGGAAGAGTATAAGGGACGGGAGAGGCGAAGGAAGAGGAGGAGAAAGGAGCAGAGGAAGGGGGAGGGATGAAGAGACGGGAGGGGTGGAGGGGAAGAAGAATGGGGGACGAGGGAGGCACAAGGAGGAAGATGGAGGAGGTAGAGGCGGTTCTGAAGAGTGCAGAAAGCTCAATTAGGGGACTATACGGTAATGCGTGGAGATGTCCTCCACCCTCCTCTATCTCCTCCTCCTCCGCCTCCTCCTCCTCGTTATCTCCCTATCCTCCTTCCTCTCCTCCTCCTCCTCCTCCTCCTCCTCCCCTTCCTCCTCATCCTCCTCCTATAATACTACTAGGTCCTCCTCCTGCGCGCTGCATTCCTCCTCCTCGTTTCGCTCGCCTCAGCCTAGATCGGGATCCTGACGGCCGCGTGCGCTGCGAGATGGAGAGCGTCAGCGCTTGGACACCTTCGTCCATGGCGATGCAGGAACGTGCCAGTCATGGCTATCGACATTCGGATCGCGCAGTTGACGACGCTCGCAATGCATTCTAGATGCCAACCGGCGGCCGAGCAAAAATTAGCACTAGTCCCGCCGTCCACACCCAACAGCAAAGTCGGTTCACGCAAGCCTGGTTCGGTATCTTCAGGTGGCGGAAATCATAGGATGTATCGATACGGTCGGGGCGTTGACCTAAGGAACCCTAAATAAGGAACGAGGCCCCTTTCTCCCATAAGTTGAACTTCGATTTCCCACGGGAAACCTCAGGAGAACCGAAGGCACACTGCAGAACAAGCAAGGAACACCGAGCCCCTCCCCAAAGAAAAGGGTTCCTTCGTCAGGGCCCCGACTGTACCACTTCCCGTCCACCACGCGGCTCAAGAGGTAAGCCGCTCCGCTACTTTGGGGAAGCTCTCAGTGCTTTCTAGGGCCGCCCCCCTGGCCCCCCCTCTTTCCGCAAGCGTCCCTTTGAAACCGCCCCCCTGAGGTTGCTCTCCGGGGCCAGTGTTGGCATCCAGTTGGCCAACAATGGCCTCCAAGAAGGCTTCCAGGACAGCCAAGATGGCACAAAGACAGATCAAGATGGCACCAGACCGCTCAAGAGGCGGCTCCCAAGACGGCCTGAAAATGGCCCAAGAGGCCCCCAAGGTGGCCCAGGAATGATCCGAGAGTCCGTCTAGGATTGCCCGAGAAAGCAAACACCATTGATTTCCTGTAGGTGTTTGACAGATGTTAATTCTCTCGCCTGGTTGGGTTTGCGACCGCCCAAGACGGCCCAAGAGGTCTTCAAGGTAGCTCCAAGACAGCCCAAGAGGCCCCTAAGAGGGGCCCAAGCCGGCACACCTAGATCGCTCAAGAAGCTCCCAAGAGGCTCCCAAGACGGCCCTAAAGCGCTCGAAGAGGGCACCAAGATGGCATAGAGATGCCCCCTAGACGGCCTCGGAAGGCGTCAGACGGACCAAGAGGCCCCACGAGGCCCTCAAGATGCCCCCAAGAGGCCCTCCAGAGGCCCCGAGGCGGCTCCCCAAACGTCCCTAGAGGGTCCCAGGAAGCCTGCTCCTCCTCGTCTCCATGTTTTTCCTCTCCTCATGCTCCTCCTCCTAGCTTCCCGCCCACCCACCCACCCACCCACCTATTGACCTACCTACATGCCTGCCTCCCTGCCTGCCTGCCTACCGACCTACCTGCCTACCCACCCGCCTGCCTGCCTACCGCGCGGACGAAGACCAGGTCGAGATCGCAACCGCCCCCAGCTCAGACCGCCCACTGAGCTCCCGCGGGGCGTGGCCTCAACCTCTCTCTCCTACCGCGCGGGCGAAGACCCTTCAGGCCACTGGTCGGACCTGCGCCATTCCTACACTCAGCCTCCTTTCCTGCTGCTCTGTTGCAGAGGCACGGCGGCGGGGTGTGCGGCAGGCAGCTGGATAGCTTGTCCCTTGCTGCCTCCCTCCCTCCCTCCCCCCCTCCCTGCCTTCCTCCCTGCATCCCTGCATCCCTCCATTCCTCTCCCCTCCTGATCTCAGGGCCCGGGGAGGCCCCTGGTGTGTATGTTACTGTTGTGCACGTGCGTGTTGATGCTGCAGCATTTTGGCTTGCCACAGGTGTGGAAAAGAGGGAGTAGGCTCTCCCTCCTCGAAGCCCAATCTGCATTGGTAGCGGAGCGTGCCGCGCGATAGCAGGCGCTGTCGCACCGGGCGGCACTCAGGCGAGTGCCGGCGGGACGCTAGAAGAAGGTAATGAGCACGGACAACGGGGGCCCCGGCGGTGCGATCAGGAGGTTCGCCGGGAGTGGAGCCGACGCTTTTCGGGACTACCGATCCTGGAAGAAGTGGGCGCGGGCATACCTCATCGTGCAGAAGGCGAAGGGGACACCCGCGACGGCCTTAGGGCCTATGCTGTTCACGCTGCTCGACGACGTCGCCGCCAGAGCGCTGGAGGTTGTCGACATGGACGATCTGGAGCAAGAGGGCGGTGAGCAGGTCATCTTCGAGACTCTCGACTCACGCTTCCCCGACGTGGCAGCACACGACCGACTCGGAGAAGCGTTGAAGGAGGTGTTCACGATTCGCCTGGCCAGGGGCGAGTCGATGGCGGCCTACTGTGGTCGAGTTCAGGCGGCGTTCGCCAAGGGCGAGACAGAAGGTGTCGTGCTGCCGGACATGGCGCGTGGGTACCTGCTGCTGCTGGGAGTACACCTGGCGCCGCAGAACCTCGCGGTCGTCCTGGCGGCATCGGGCCGATCATATAAGGAAAAGGACGTGGCGATGGCGCTCAGGACGACTTACCCCAACGGCCTGGCGGACTTCGGCCAGCAGTCGAAGGCGTTCGGGGCGCACGTGGCAAAGGAAGAGGCCGACGAGAGCGATGACGCCGCGGACATCACGGCGCTGCTGGCGGGCTTCGACGTGATTGAGGATAACGAGGACGGGGACATCCTGGACGAGAGTGAGGCCATCGAGATACTGGTGTCCTGGCGCGATCAGCGCAACAAAATAACGAAGGAGCAGCTGGCTCGGGGCTTCGGTCCGAAGAAGCCGGACACAAAGGCGATGGCGAAGCGAGTGCGATGCTACAACTGCGACGAGGTCGGCCACTTCAGCAGAGACTGCAAGAAGCCGCGACGTCAACGCCGTCCGCCGCCACGGGATCACAAGCACAAGGGCAAAGACGGCGAGAAGCGCGGCGACGTGGTCACGGTCTATGAGCACGACTCGGATGAGGGCGTCTTCATGGTCGACGACGGCAAGACCGAGGACGTCGTCGACGAGGAGACCTTCGAGTGTGACGTGTGCGACGACGGGTCCCAACGGCCCTTGTACGTCGGCGGCTGCAGCGACGACGATGACGAGTGCGACTGCGAGCTGACGGTCGACGAGGAGGACAAGGATCAGGACATAGACGACCTGTGCGAGGCGTACACGGCGGCGAGGGACGACATGGATGACGCGATTGAGGCGTACCGCAGGCTGACCGCGATGCCCAAGGACGAGGTCATGCCGGAGGTGCTGACGGCGTCGGCTCACGAGCCGGGGTCGGGCGTGGTCGACACTGGGTGCGGCAAGGGAGTCATCGGCGAGAAGACCCTCAAGGAGCACAAGGTGGTGATGGAGAAAGCAGGTCTCGCGATGAAGACGATCAAGCAGACGAAAGCGACGACCTTCCGTTTCGGCAACCAGGAGACGCTGGAGTCGATCTACACCGCGGAGATACAGTGCCGAATGGGCGGTCGACTCCTGGTGCTCCGCCTATGCGTCGTCCCAGGCGAGACCCCGCTGCTGGTTAGCAAGCCCATGCTCAAGGCCCTCGGCGCGCAGCTGGACATGGAGCGGGACGAGATTCGGTTCGCCCGGATCAACGTCACGGTGCCGCTCCGGGTCGCGGACAGCGGTCACTACCAGCTGAACCTATGCGAGATGACGAACGAGGACGGCAGGCTGATCCAGACGGCTGAGGTCGACGTGATGGTGTCGGCGGAGAAGGACGACGGGCTGACAGCGGAGGAGCAGCAGGAGCACGAGGAGTCCGTCGTGGCGGCGTCGTCGGGTTTTCGCTAGGGCCGAGCCGGAGCCCTGAGGCTGACGGCGACTGGGACGACACCGACGTCCTGTGGTCAGAAGGCGTTACCGATATCATGAGCCGACGGGCCAAGCGGACGGTGATCAGGGGTGTTCTCGAGGCGCAGGCCCGGCTGGGCCGCCGACCGAAGTGCCTGGAGATCTTCTCGGTGCCGCGGGTGACCCCCGCCCTGGAGTCCATGGGGTTCCAGAGCCTCGGTGCGTTCGACCTACAGAACGGTTGGGATGCCCGCCGAGCGGCGGACCGCCACAAGATCTTACACATGGTCGACGTCGAGGAGCCGGAGTTTGTGGGCATGAGTCCTCCATGCGGCCCCCTTTCGATTCTGCAGAACCTGACGATGGCGGAAGCGCGACGAAATCCAGAGAAGTCCCGCCAGGCAGTCAGGGAGGCGGTCGGGTACCTGAGGTTCTGTGTGGTGGTGGCTCGGATGCAGATCCGAGGAGGTCGCTACTTCACGCTCGAGGCACCGCCGACGGCGAAATCCTGGGACTGTGCTTCGGTTCTGGGCCTGTGTCGGGTGGTGGGTGTACACCGTGTGTCGGTCAGCGGGTGCCGGGTGGGTCTGAAAGATCCGGTGACAAAGAAGCTGATGTCCAAGGAGTGGTGCTTCGCGACCAACGCGGACATGCTCAAGTGGACGCTGAAGGAGCTGCGTTGTTCTCGTGATCATGAACATCAGTGGTGCTGGGACAGCTCGAAGGGCATCAAAAGAAGCGCTTTCTCGGAGAAGTGCCCCGAGGACCTCTGCAGGAAGATTGCTGGTGCAATGGCAAGTCAGCTCGAGGTGGACTGCGTCTCCCAGACGGCCGACGTTCTGACGACGTCTGATGACGATGAAGTCATCAAGCGACGGAAGCTATCGCTCGAGGCGTCCCTCAGGAGGTTGCACGCCAACCTCGGCCACCCGAGCAATGAGGACATGGTCAGGATCCTGAAGCACGCCAAGGCGAGTGAGATGGTGTTGGCCCTGGCGCGGACGTTTTCCTGCTCTATCTGCGAAGGACGGCGGCTTCCCAAGGCCGTGCGGCCAGTGAAGGTGCCGTCGAAGATGGCGCCATTGAGGCTGGTCGAGCTGGACGTGAAGGAGCTGCCAGGCTGGAAGGAAGGGATGAAGGTGAAGGCCCTGAACATCGTCTGCCCCAGCAGCGGTCTCCAGCAGATGCTACCCTTTTTCGTGCAAGAGACCGGCAGGGTGCTGAAGGAGCTCTTTGAGAACGGCTGGAGCCAGCCGCATGGACCTCCTGCACTTCTCAAGTGCGACGCTGGAAAGACCAACCTGGGCCAGGAGATCGTCGACGCGTTCGAGAGGCAGGGCGCGGAGGTCAGCGACGCGGCTGGGGAGGCTCACGAACAGGTTGGTCACGCTGAGCGCCACGGCACCTGGTTCAAGGACATTCTGAACAAGGTGTTGGACCAGACGAACCCGAAGGACGAGGCCGAATACATGACTTGTGTGCGGGCGGTGGTAATGGCGAAAAACTCCCTCCTACGTGTCCACGGCTTCTCGCCGTGCCAGATCGCCCTGGGGCGGAACCCGGAGATCCCGACGGACCTGATGCAGGAGGAGCCGAACATCGTCGCCAACAGCGCTGCCCTACATGACGAGCCGTTCGCCGAGATGGAGAGATGCCGACAAGCTGCGAGGATCGCCGTCCTGGAGTACATGGACAATCGCGCGGCCAGGGTTGCACTCGACAGCCGCCCCAGAGTCGTGCAGTCATTCAAGCCGGGCGATCGCGTGGCTATGTGGCGCCGAGGTCGGGGCATTCCCGGCAAAAAGGCTCACGCCCGCTGGCGCGGGTCGGCCGTGATCCTGGGCCCCGTGCACGGCAATTTCTGGGTCGCTATGCCAGGCGTGGCGATCAAGGCGTCGCCGGAGCAGCTCCGGCACGCCACCGAGGAGGAGAAGCTGGCCGCCGAGGTCGTCCAGCCCGAGCTTCGAGCCCTGGCGAAGGAGTTCATGGACGGCCAGGGTCCGCAGCGCGGCTTCATGGACATCACCGCGGATGAGCGACCTCGCGGCGCAGCTCCTGCTGGCGCGGCTCCGAGCTCGGCGGCGCAGGAGTCGCCGGAGGAGCAGCCTCCGGCTGCGGCGGAGACGGAGGAGCCGCAGGTGCAGCCGAACCCCGATGACCGCGAGGGGGGCGCTGAGGTGGCACCACCGGCTGAGGTACCTGCTGCTCCACCGTCCGACGAGATGGCCGCTGGCACGAAGGTGCACCGCCGCCTGGTGGGCAAGAGGGCGGTCTCTCCGGCCGAGGTGCGGCCTCCCAAGGCGCCCAAGGTCGAACCTGAGGAACCGCTGCCAATCCCTCAGGCGAAGATGCCCAGGCTGTCGGAGGACGTCTGCAGCGCGCTGCTGGCGAGCGTGGTGTCTGACACCGTGGAGGACGAGAAGGAGCTGCGCGTGCTGTACGTCAACTCCGAGGACGATGAGGAGCTGGAGGGCGCGATGTTGGCCGGCGGGAGGCGCGAGCTCAACAGGAAGGACCCAAAGTGGACCAGCCGGGAGGGACTCGCGAAGATCAACGCCGGCATCGGCAAGGAGGTGGACAACCTGTTCAACAAGAAGCAGGCGCTGGCGCCGGCGTCTCGGGTCGAGTCGGATGAGATCCGACGGAACAGCCCTGAGCGCATCGTCGGCAGCCGGATGATCCTGACGAGCAAGATCGATGACTCGGAGATGGAGGTGGTCAAGGCGCGCCTGTGCAGTCAGGGCTACATGGACCCCGACCTTATGCAGCTCGTGCGCGAGAACAAGACCTCCTCCCCGACTCTCTCACAGAACGGGAAGGTCGTGGCCTACCAGCTGTTGGCCTCTCACGGTTTCCAGGTTCAGATCGGGGACGTTGAGGGGGCCTTCCTCGAGGCGGACCCCATCAAGCGCAAGAATGGGGACCTGTACCTCAAGCAACCGCGCGGAGGCCTCCCCGGCTTGCACCCCGACCAGCTGCTGAAGGTCATCAGGCCGATCTACGGTTTCAACGACGCCCCGGCTCAGTGGTGGGGCAAATTCAGGGACACCGTCCTGGGCTGGAAGCCGAGCGACGGGTGCGAGGGCTGGCGCCAGTCCAAGCTCGACCCGTGCCTGTTTTTCCTGTTTGAGGGTCGGCACTTGCAGGGACTGATATCGACGCACGTCGATGACATACTGACTGGAGGAAAAGGGAAAAAGTACAACACCTTCATCAGATTTCTGCGCATGAGGTCCCCTTTCCCCAAGTGGAAGGTCAACGAGGGAGAGTTCTGTGGGTCCTATCTCATCCAGAATCCCGTGACTATGGAGATAACCGTGTCTCAGAAGGAGTTCGCTGAGTCGATGAAGCCCGCTGGTGTGAGACCCCGAGCGCCCCCGGAGACCCCGGCGACCGAGAAGGAAATCGCGAACTTCCGCGCGATGCTCGGTAGCGGCAACTGGTTAGCTCGAGAATCTAGGCCAGATCTAGCAGTCCAGGTTTCGATGAGCCAGCAGTGCATGCCCAGGCCAACGGTGGGGGAGGTGAGACACGGGAGCACGATCGTGAGGAGGGCAAAACAATTCTCGAACCTGTCCTGGAAGATCAAACCGATTCCGATCGAACGTCTCCGGGTCATCATGCACGCCGACGCCTCGAACCAGAACACCTCGAAATCCGGGACCCAGGCAGGTTACGTCATCGCTGCGACCGACGAGAACATGATCCGAAACGAGCTGAGCCCCTGGAGCCCGCTGGTCTGGAAAAGCTATCGCCTTCGTCGAGTTATATCGTCGACTCTTGCTGCGGAGACTCAGGCCCAGATGGACGGCCTAGGTCACCTCGAGTGGATCTCTTGCCTGCTCCTCGAGGGCAGCGATGGAAAATTTTGCCTGCGTCGTCGATCTGAGTTTCTTCCGAAGTTGGCTCCCATTGCGGTCACGGACTGTAAGTCGTTGTACGATCACATTGTCGGCTGTGGGAGTGCGGGGTCATGCTCGGACAAGCGAGTGGCGGTCGATCTAGTCATCACTAAGGAAAGCGTGAAGCGTCTAGGTGTGAGCTATCGGTGGGTACCATCAGCCCTTCAGCTAGCAGACATATTGACTAAAGACAAAGCCGAGCCAGCCGATATGTTGAGAGCTACGATGACAAGCGGTAAATATCAGCTAGCCGACGAGCCAGCCGTCATGGCAGCAGCAGCCCAAGAGCGTGTCCGTCGTCAGTTTCTATCGGCTAGTAGCAGGAAGGAGCGGCCCAGTCGCCAGCCGACACCACCAACGGCCGGCCATGGTCAAGTTCGAGAGCTGCCTGTCGGAGGACGGAGTCAGGAGCCTGTTCGAGAGTATCCAGGCGGAGCCAGTCCGCCTCTCGGGGACGACGTGCAAGGTCGTGACCAACATGCAGATCCTGGGGGATCCAGACAGCCGCCAGCACCGAAATCGTGTGACGTTGAC